CTCAACGACCTATCAACTAACCAACAGTCAAATTATTGTCCAAGGCAACGACAAGGAGTTTGTTAGTTGATCATATTACTTGCTTTTTGCATAACTCATTTATCATTGCTTACCAATTCATCGTGTTATATACATATGCATTTTATACCCTTTTTCCTGTTGTTAACTAGTAATATTGTGCAAGAACAATATTACCTCCCGAATAAATCTGTATCGCCGAGAAACGAGTTCAACAGAAAAACAATTTCCCAACAAATCTTTGGTGCGACGAGCCGGGAGGCGTTTTTGGTTCATCCACTAATACAATTCCTTCCTCTTTTGGCTTACGATCCTCCGTGCTTTTAAGATTTACGTGTTCCTTTTGTGTTCCTCCCCTGAGGCTCGTTAAGTAGTCCCTTTTCCATGCTTCCCAAAGTATATCGAGTACCTTAAGCGTCCCCAACCAATATTTGATTATTCGTTCCCTTGTATCAAGAATTCTTGGTTTGAATTTGTCCTGGTCGTCATCCACTGTTGGGAGAATTAAAGAGGCACTAGGATGTATAAAATCGATTGGGCGTATTATCTTGCAGTCATCGGAGTAGAATAAGTCAACGGCCGGGTATTCAGTACACACCCTTGATCTCCACGATCAACGTCATAAGTTCTCTTTCCCATAACAATTTTCTTCCAATTCTCTTTTCATGGCCTTCTTGGTCAGCCCTATCAGTCGCTCGTAGAGTCTGTCACTCCAAGGAGCTCTCGGTGTTATATTTTCCCAACAGTATTTGTATTATAAATTTGTAGCATAAAGATCACCTTATTTAAAATATTTCACCGATAAGGGTTCATTGCACAAAAAATAAAATCTTCCAACTCCTCAAGTAATGAATTACTTATTCAATTTCTACAACAGTGTTGTAGAATCCTCTAATCTGCTAACTATTCTTACATTTAACATGTCCAGACTTTCTTAAACTGATTTACATCCTTTTTATCTGGAAATTGATCTTGTATGTAATATATTGGGTTTTGTAAAGCACATTCACCGTATAAAGAGTGTCCTTTGCCGATCCAGGAAAAGCTTCATTCGGTGTGCTACAAGTCTCCCTATCTTAAGTTCTAATTTAACTACTCAATACGCTAAATTCTCTTCTCACACCAACAACAAACTCAGCCGTAACTGCATTCTCTATATTGCTAATAATCAAAGGGTAATAAATCATCAACAAACTTTCACCAGTAAATCATCAATAAATTTTCATCAGCAATAAACTTTTATCATCAATAAACTTTCTACCATCAACAATAAAATCAATAAACTTTTATCAACCTCAGTAAACCTTCATCAAACGCAAAGAAACTTTATCGTCCATCTCCCCTAACGCAAGGACAAATTTTTCACGAGACTAGGAGTATTTTTCTTAGATCATGATACAGCGATAATTTTTACAGAGTAATGTTAGTAAACCATTCGAAGTTAATTCAATCTTTAAAACGAAGTTTCAAAATAAATATAATTAACAATCATATATAGTTATAAGCTAAGTCTTCTTCGTCAGCCACGAATTGGATCTCTAACTTCACCGGTTGTTTGAGCAAGACTGAGAGAAATTCTTCAGTAAATCCAAATAGCCAATATATTTCACGAATATTCAGTCTGTTCCGATAATGGAAGAAACCTGCTACACGGACACAATTTCCTTGCCGTTTGATAACCAACTGCAAAATTCAGTAAATTTTTGAAATAGTAACTGCATACTAACATAAGTTTAGCTTGGCAACTAATCAAAGATTAAAACAACACTAAAAAATCACGAAACAGACTTCACTTCCATCAACGGTTATGTAGTCCGGAAAAAAACCACGTACGAAACGACGAATGATCTCATCTTGGGCCAGCTGAAATATCTTTCATTTTGAATGCAAAGGTTCTAAATTTTGAAACTGCTATTTGAAATATTAGTAATATTAGTCAACAATTATCGTATTCTTTTGATCGTTTTGTTGTTTCCAGTATAAAACACGCCCCTCCTATCTATAAAGAGTAATTTTTTCTCCCATGTATAGAGGTCCAATGGTCTTCTCGCTCTTATAACATACCACGACAGGTTGACGCTGTCGAAACGATTCCAAATTTTGTGAATGCCATGTTAACCATGATTTTTTAACACCAATATGATGAGGTCGGTGGGCCATTTCATATGTAAGCATCTGCTTTCGTCCACTTGTCGTCTGAATTATTCGAAATTAATTATTATCCGAAGGTTAATTGTTATTAATTATTCGAAGCTGTCATTAATACGAACATAACCAGTTACGGATCTTCCCAAAAGTTGACCGCAAAGCGCGACAATTCTTCTATGACAGTGGCATTATCCAGTTTGGTTTTTCAAGTCGTTTGGCTTAACAGCATAACAAAGATACCCTATACTTTCCAGCAGTATTCTTGTGAAGCGAGCACGATGTCGACATAAACCTTTCAAGTTTAACAGTGCTCTCGACATTTCGAAGTGAATTCCTTGTCATGCAGGTTAATACCATACTGTTCCAAAGTCCGTCTACAATTTTCAAACCAATCCAGTTTCCTGCGTCAGACTAAAATAGAACCAACTGAGGAATAAATATTTATCGACAATGCTGGACACAATTCAGAAACACCATATAGTTATATGACCACCGCGTATTTTATCAGCTATCTTCTACAAGATGTTCTGGTACTGGTTGGTATAGTTGATTTGCTTGCTGTTAGATGATGCTTCCTTGATCGATGGGAGCGTTTATCGTGAAGTTGGAAATCAGTATCAGCTGAATTGAACATGAAGAAGGAAGACGAGCTTACTCGACTGAAACGCAATGCTTCGAAACTTCTTCAGCAAGCTCATAAACAAACCCATGCTCAACAACGGCGGTATGTCTATTTAACTTCGGAATTTCAGATTCTTGTTTCAAGTTGTTGAAAGCCCGAGAAGTAGCATTATGCATACTGGTGGATGTTAAGATCAGCCTATAACAGTATACATTTTTATGAATTATAAATTTAAAAAAAAGCAAAACAGTTTCTTAATTTCAGTAAATCTCTTCATAAAGTTAATTTTGGGGTTTTTTTTTTCCTAGACTCTCTACAAATGGAAGATGCAGGTCAGCATGCGATCAGTTGGATGCACGTATCAGAAAACGTTTGGACTCTTTCACTGTATGTTAACAATTAATTTTCCATAAAAAGACATAAACTCTGACTCGAAATTGTGTTCTGGAGTCAGCATTGGTACTCTTTGAGTACTTTGGAGCAAAACTTTGTCTTGTTTGTTATAACATAATGTTTTCTTGGGGGATATGTTGTGCTGTGCAACTGAAGTCATTACAGAAGCCACGTAACGTTTTTCTTTTGTGACGTAGTTATTCTTTCTATTAAAATTAACCATATATTCCTATATTCAGCCTGTGAAATGGGCTGGGAAACCAAACAATTTGTCGCCTCTGATGTTTGCATCACATGGATGGATATGTATATCCTCAGATATGGTGCAGTGTGAGGCCTGTGGTCAATATATGAGTGTACTGATACCCTCGCTAGTGCATACCGATGTTATTGTTTATCAGAAATCAGTCAGGTACTTCTTTACATGTACAGCTTTCCTTATACTTATCGTCTTACGCTTCTGCAGATTTTACTCATTCTTTATTTCACAAAATCTTAAGCTGTTCGAGACATCGTTTTTCCTTTTTATTAATCTTTTTTACACCTTTGCTTACCTTTATTCGTTCCTCGAACAATTGTGACATCGCCTGTTTTTATTAATAATGATTAAAACTTGAGTCCATTCATTATAATACTGAATATGATTTCAGAATGCTTGTTTCCATGATCACCATGAAACATCATGTTACATGTCCGTATAGGTATACTTCTTCTGGTACGGACGATGCCGTACCATTGAACGCTCTCTGTAAAGACGTTGTTAATCAAAGGTAATTATATTTTGTTCATGAATTCAAATGATTGCAATAAAAGAGTGAAATTTTACAATAGCGTAGGTCAAAATTCTTTTCTACACTTCGTCGTTGTATTGAGGTTAAAACACGATGGAGTTCTGCACGGTTAAATCTAACTAGACCATAAGAGGGCTTCGCTAGTGGTATATGAATGAACTCATTTGTGCACGATATCTCACCGGCAAAGTACCGAAGACGGGTACCAGGGATAGTGGAGCTAGCAGGTGTTATTTAATAGTAAAGCGAGACGGTGATAGCAGAAGGTTGATTTATGGGTTACCCAAAAAGTGGGGCTAGTACGAATATGTTAATATCTCGACATGCATCTTCTGTAAGGCGTTCTTGATGGATCTGTTCTGGAGACTTATGGCACATTCCGAGACTTTTCGTCTCGAACACATCCAAGTGCAAAACATTAAGTTGCCAGCGACTTATGAAATGATAAAAGAGTTTCTTTCGAACTAGTGCAAGAAAATGATATGCGGAAATTTTTTTTTGTATATCATTTTCTTTGAATTATTGTTCATAGAACATCGAAATTCTCAAATCACCTGCGTTTACATCTTTCATTACCGATTAGACGTTGGTAAGGTTGAGAAATTCTGCCGTGGAACTCTGCACTTACTGTTCCATCCACCTGTACAGTCATTACAAATTTTATTGAGAAACTACGACGTATGGAAAGACTAGGAAACAACTGGTAAGGATCTGACCTATTCCTTTATCACCACCATTTTGCACCCCTATGACTTATAGGAGATGTGTTGCTGACAGACATTGAAGAACTCAGCATGAAGGTAAAAATGGAACGAGTGATCTTGAGTGTACTGCTTCACAACTATATGTAACATCGTCAATGATTCTACAACTACCACCAACTATTCAATTTAGGTGTGAAATCATGAAAAAGCTTGATCTCGAACAAATTAAAGTGGATGTCCCTGAAGTCCCATCGACTATGGTTCTTGAAACAACTGCACAAAAGTGTAAAGCACTTACTTGTTTTGGTTGGCAAAAAAGGTTCTCATTTTCCACTTTTTTTTAACAGTGTGGTAACTGTAGTAAGTAGTCGTTTGTTAGTGGCGCAAGTATACAGGACACTATCATTTACCAGTACTCATTTTCATGAGACTTATGGTGCTAGCCTTAGGACATCTCATACAAACCTTCCGTCTGGTTTGGTTACAGCTTCTGGACATATGTCGTACCGTGTTTAAACACTAATTAATTTCTGCCATTTGCAACTTGCAGGAAGTTTCGGCCTATTTTTGCTATTGTGGGAGTCTAAACTGCTTTTGAAATGTCTCGCGTTTCAAGAAGAAACCACTGCATTTCATTTCTCTATTGCAGCAAATATTTGGATGATGCTGTAGTTTGTACATATTGCAATAGGACAGTGGGGTTATGGCTTCTAAGAGGACATTTTTTCGATGTTGAGAAACAGCATCATAATTGGTGTACTTTTGCATCAGATACTAGCCGATACACAGATGGATGGCAGTGCCGTCATTTTGTACTACAATGCATCAATAGCTCAAAGGTAAATCAGCTGTCGAATTTCCATGTTTCGCTGATGAAGAAATCTCTTCTGCGTGCTACTCAGAAACTTCTATTTGGAACTAAAAATTTTTAAGGACTTTCCTGTCACGAACTGGGCAGCTAAAGCAGAAGTTTGGAAATCCGCTATTATACCGAGAAATATCCCTCCTCTCATGAGAGAATGAAGTGAGTTCCATTACGACAAAGCTCAGCAATTCCATGAAAAAAATCTCTACTTTTCAAGTCTTTTATATCACCATTATTCCTTGCTCCAAATTAATTCGCTAGAAATTGTTGCTTCTATACTTTTATGCCTTAATCAAAGTGACCTTTTGTTCATCAATAATTGGTTAACAGTGTTGCATGTACAAGTAAAAACATAAACCACAGATAATTTGGTGAGTTGCCTAATTAGTCGGCCCTGTAAAGTCGTAAAGTTACAATGCACATGGAGTTATTTACAAATAGTTTCCGGTTTCAAAAACAAAAACTGAAGGCTTGAACACATGACAGGTTCCAAAATGTCATACTCTGGATCTGAGAATGCGTACCACCCGCTAAAGGATAGTAGAACGGGATTACATTTCCAATATATCTTAAAAAGATGCTAGGGCCAACTTTTGGAAACCATGAATTTGTGGTCCCATTTTTCAAAAATTATGCGAATGCATGCTTTGCCTTTGAAAAACAAATGTTCAGCTTTCTCTAGAGCGTTTCTATAGTTCATTTATGTGCCGTTCCTGTCATTTCGTGTCGTTACACCGAGAGCTTTGAAAATTGTACTACGTTTGGCAGTGATAGCATGTTTCGATGGAACAGGTTTACGTGCCTGTGATCCAACGATAACCCCATTTTTGCCGTTTCGTGGCAAAGAAGCGCTTCGCTTACCTGAAATTAGCTTTCATGTGGCATGCAGGACCAACTTCCCCTTGGACATGGGGATCTTGATATCACTGAAGCTCAAATTCATTTACAATTTCCAGTAAAAAACGCCGTTTCATTTAATTTTAACCAAATAAGGTTGGACTCACGCACTTGTGTTCATTGATTCGATCACTGCACCCAAATGCTCAATTTCAGGCTCAGCTGAATATGCATTTTTCATCTTTTCGGACGAATCTGATGAATTTGACATCCTCTCGCGATCACGTGATGACGAATAATTATTACCACGTACTGTTAACAGTGCTATCGGCCGTGCAGCTGTTGTAGAATGTTGTCCTTTCCTTAAAATCGAATACGGGATATTAATTTTGAAGATCCCGAAACAGAGTTTAAAACTTTCGACAAGAAAAGTGAAACTTAAAATTTGGAGCTAAAAATGAACTTTTAATAGAGCTTATCAACATGAATGATAATTTGAGGGAACGAAATGCGTTCGAAAAAGCTAACTTCGCGGGAGAGAGTGGAACGGTTGATGAGACTGATAGAGGAGATGGTGCTCGGAAAGGAACACGACTCTGAGGAATCCGGTTACTTGCTGGAAAGGTTGAGGAAGTTGTGAGTCGGGGTCGTACTGGATGCTTCAGATCGCTGGCTACGGGCAATAAGCCTGGCGCCGGATTTTTTGACGGTGACAAAGCGTTTGAAACACCTTTATTAGCTACAACCACAGAACCGTCGTCCGAAAATCGTAACTAAAAAACGATAAGTTCAGACCCATATAAAAACAATTTTCCTGACGATTGATCAGAAGATATAGTCTGGAAGCTAAGGCCTTAATTCACATTCCAAATCGATGCCATGTAAATCTCGTGATGATGAAAATTTTTTCTTATCTTAGACAGGATATTCAACGTAGGTATTGTACAAGTGAAAGCTGTATTGATTATAAGTTGTAATTCAGTCCTAACAGTTGTAGAATGATCACTGTGGAACAAAATCAATTTAAATTTGCCATTTCACGAGATGATAATCATTAAAATCTTTACTTCAGAAAAAATGCGTTTTGCAGCTAAAGCTCAGTAAGAAATTGCCTTGAATTCATAACTTTCCAGAAACTATAACAAATGCTCACATTATTTGCATAACTTCGCGTGTTAGCAAGTATATCGGTACACATGAAGGACAAATCCTCCTCTTGATTTCTTGCAACCTAAAACCTAACAAATGTGAATCAGACAAGAAACACTAGTGAGGATTTACGTAAAAATTGTAAAGTGACCTCTCTGAGGATCTGCACTTCGGAAAGAGCTGCATCCAAAGCTGTACGCAGTTGGTCCCTTTCCGAGCGCAGGGCAGTTACTTCCTTTCGCATCTCTGCAAACAATGTTGTTTCCTGAGCGCAGGAAGAACCTGTAAATATGTTCAGTATAATGCAAAGAAATGTAGTCTCTGTAAGCATAGCAACAAATTTACAATTTCGTGAATTTACATTATTAAGAAAGACAATTACCGCGGCCATTTTGAACTTTTAGCTCATGTACTTCAAATAACATTTGCTTCCGTTCATTTACCAAGAACAACACCATCGACTTGTGACGTTCTTGTTCATCCCTTAACTTTTTTTCCAATCTTTCCACTTCCTTATGAGCTTTTTCACCTTCCTTTTGCTCATACTCCAGCTTAAAAAGAATTGCGGTACTTATTGCGGTAGATATCAAGTAAAGCTCCAACCAACTTAGATTTTGTCAAATGGAACATACTTAGAAAACAAGGACATAAGAAAAAACCCTATTGTATAACCCAGTTAGTCCAGTATAGGGAAGAAAAACACATAAAATGTCCTGAAATCGTTCAGTGTGTAGCTCAGGCCTAGAATTATGGTGGGTTCACAAGTATGATGTATAGGTTCACTCACATTATAAGGTAACAAGTATTTGGAATCAGCATATTGGATAATTCCATTTTCTAATTTTTCTGGCTTGGTAAGAAAGAAAAAGCACAAAAATTAGTGGTAAAAATTGATAAGAAACTATTCTTATTCAAATGAAAAGTAGAGAATATTTCTGGATTTATAAAACGCACTTGTTGACGAAGGCGAGTCCGTTCATTTTCAAGAAGAACACAAAGATCATCGCCCTGTGCAGCATCCGCTGCAGAACGTTGCTTTTCCTCATCTAACTCTCGCAAAATTCGTGCATGCCGCTTCTCTGTAGCTGCTAGGATCTAAAACAGAAGTGACTAAAATGGATGAATGTAAATCCCTTTATGTTTGGAAGAACAAGAGAAGAAAAAACAACAACGAAAAGAGACATACAGCTACACTGATATCATCATTATTCCTAGTTTATTAAACTTTCATTCTGCACGAAATCATTATTCTTGGTTTATTAACCCCTTATTCTGCACGAATTCTTCCCCTATGCTTTTAAAAAAACTTAGTCCCCCATTTAACCTTTCAAATTCGCTAGTGAGTTTAATTTGAATTTACTCTTCTTGTGATTTGCACTATTATTATCAAAAAAGTAGTCACACTCCTATCACATAAGAAGACATAATCTCCTTTCAAATGACTTGTTCTAAAATTTTTTTTCGTGATTTTCCATGCTTGTAAGATTTTTTCGTGCAAGCAGAATATACATGAGCAAAAAATACGCTTGTCAGTTAATAGACCGCATTACGGCCATTTCATATTCAGTAAAGCACACTCGAATAGGTATATATCAGCGCATTTACTGAATGGCATCATCATTTTTCACGTTTAGATTCAAAACAGACCTGTTTAGAGTGATTGTGACAGCGCCGCTGCACAGTGATTAAACGTTCCAGCTGCATCAATTGGGTTTCATACATGCGTCCAATTGCAGATTCATCAACTTCATTTCCTTCATCCGTAAAACCGGAGTCACGTTGCAGAGCTTTAATTGGGTTGCTTCCAGCAAGTTGTCCATATTTGGCCTCATGCAATAATTGCTTCGCTTTTTCTGACTGAAGTTTTTAAAACTGAAGACTTTTAATTTAACAAAAAAAATTGTTTAGTGATAGAAAGGCAACCTGTATTCAGGCTACAGATATTCAAGAAATGTTAGTAATTAGAGGAACAGAATAATGGAAAAAACTTGACCTTCAAAGTAGCTATTACGATATCACGAGCCTGGATTTCGCCTTCGAAATAGGCCAAAAGTCTTAAAAGCTCTTCAGTCGAAAAGTTTTTTCCAATAGATTGTATAGTTAACTCGTCATCCATGAATTCAGTTCATCAAAATTCATCAGCGATTTCTCGATCAAGGAAGAAAATGCTGTAATCTGTGACAAGCACGCATAAAAATTTTTTATAGAATTAAACTACCACTAAGAATGCGTTAAATCATCTATCAGGTCTTATTGGGCAAATTTCATAAATGATCCTAAGATGCTGAAATTCATTAGTCTGAAAGAAAAATCACCGAATAAATTCAAGGATTTTTTTCACGATATGAAATTTATCGTAAGGCATGTCATGAGTAAGAGTGTTTCAAACAAAAAAACACTGTGCAAAACTATACAAGGCCAAAAAATCTTTTAAAAAAAATCATCTAACGCATATATATAGAGAATCGAGTAGGAATGAAGCACAAAACGAAGAAATGGGAGGACTGAACATACAAGCAACTTGCGAGTAGGTGAATTAACATATCAATAAAGAGTTACAAGAGTTTCAGAAATAAGATTAAGAAATAACATTAATACATTTCAATTTTTTTTTCTGAAGTAAATTTAACCCGAGAAAACGACTCCCTACTTTTTCCTTATTCATTTCATCACTCTGCTGACAGCAATGGACCTGAGGATTAATGGAAAAGTGGAGAAATAAGGTAACATATTATGCAAAAGGTATTCACTTATTCAAAAGACAAAAAATAAAAATAAACTCTTTTTATATGTCCAAAGCAAGATTAAACTGTAGTTTGGCTCTAAATAATCACTCATCACAAACTAGAACTTCTTATTCACTTATATGGATACTTTGATATGCAAATTAAGGATATTTCTAAAGCTTGAAATAAGCTTATTGAAAAAACAAAAAACAAAGCGTCTTTCAAATTAAACACATGAAACAATTTCGAAACAAAATACTGCAAGATGTAAAACGGAATAGTGTTAGATTTAACATTTACCGACAACACCACTATACCAGATTACAATAACCTATACGAGATGGAATCATTAATTTCTCGTTAATGCACTCCTCACAGCAACCATCACTATCTCTTTACATAATAAACGTAGTCTTTTATGTTTTACATCGCCTCAACAACATTCTTCAAGCCAAAGCAAAACTGGAAGTCTTTATACAAATTATGCTCCAGCTTGTTGATAGTTTTCTATTCGACGAATCGCTTATTAAATCACCGTTAAAGTTATAAATCATCGCTGAAGCATATTCTACGTCACTAATCTGTACACTAAAACGAAGTACATTTCACTAACTGTTACGTTCTACTGTTGGAAATGGTATTTGAAAAAAACTTTTTTTGAAGTACTTTTGATATTTTGAAGTACTTATTTCCTCAAGCATTTTCTGTAAGGTTCTGAATATTTTCATTGTCAATCTAAAATCGACACATCATCATTAAATCTGCAGTACCTTACAAACTCCCAGCTTCATAAGCAAACTTTTAAGAGCACACTGTTAGCATACTTTGTAACGGATATTTAATCTTTCGCTTACACTCATAATAAAATTATTGTTACCACCCTCCAGCGCGCTATTGGACTATATGTTTAAGCGACCATAGCAAGCATTCTTCTCCGTTATCTATGTCCGTCCTAATATCTGTTTTCTTAAGCACTTCCTGCAAGGTCCCGAATATTTTCATTGCCAGTCTGATCAACTCATCATCATCATTAGATCTGCAGCACCTTGCAAATTCCCAAATTCCTTCATCGGCATAGGTGATTCCAGAGAAAAGATACGGAAGGTAACAAAAATATTATAAGCATTATTTAAAATGGCATAACAACAGAAAAAGCGCAACCCATGAAATCTAGAAACGAACCACGAGAGAAATGACCAGTAAATCACTAATAAAGACTGCTATTGACATTAACGAATCAAACTTGGTTCTAAATAACCAGAGAGCACAGTTATAAAGAACTTAGTTGACTGAAAGTTGATACCCACCAAATTCACTGACCAACCGCACAGAAGCGCTATTACTGTACATAATACCATTTATATTCATCCTTCCTTATTTATTTACTTACTGTCAGCGATTCTTCACATCAAATTTATGCAAATATGCAATAACCCCATACCACTTTTTGAAAATTTGACAACTAATCCATGGTAAACCTTAATTTCTATGCTAGCTATTCGTCGTGATGTTTGAGAATACCTTATAAATCGTTAGTCTTACTTTGTGAGGAAATATGTTATCCACTTATGTCCCATTATCTTACTAACACTACATGCCAACTGCACCCATTGCTTTCACGACACCAACAAATATCTCCGTGCACCTTGATTCCGAAAGAGTTCCCTCGGGAATCACCAACGCTGATTTGAGTCTCCACGGTTCAGTCTGTGTGCCTGATGAAAATGGTCGGTTCGGTTGGGTGTATTGGTGATGAAGTTAGTACGTTAAATAAAGTGATAGTGGTGGACGATGTCCTTCTAGAGACAGCACACTTCCTCTCCTTCCACTCATCTGCATATTGTACTTGAATTCTAAACTGAACTGTTAGGACAAAACAGCCCGTTACATCTGCTTAATCGAAAAAAAATGAGGCTTTTTTGTCCAAAAAGATGAGTTGCAACTTCCTCCTCCTTTACTTTTTGGAAATTTGAGATATCAAAACGACGTAGTTACAGTGACTTTCATAGTGATGTAGATACGATGGCAGAGAAAAGCCTGACATATTTCAAAAAATGTACGGTGCTGACTAGATCTTTAAGAATCTCATTTCCTGAGAGTGCTGCAGGGAAATCCTGATGTACTGGCAAAAAAGAAAAGAATTTTATGGAAATATTTTTAGCAAGAAATAACTGTACTAATAAGTATAAGTAGAATAAAGATAAGAACAATACAAAAGCTACATCACTGAGCAAACAGTAGTATTACGAGAGAGATCGGCTCGTGGTTGTTGCTGTGATGCTTTGGATTCTGCTTCCGTTCGTGTTGTAACGGAAGCCTTCACAACAATGATATCTCCTTCTGTATCGCTTTGCTCCAGTGGGATTCCAAGGATTTCAGCAGCTGTTTTCCTATAAATCTGCACTTTTTTGAGAACTGAACTATTACGCAGATCTTACTTGATAAAGAAACGTGCATATGGAATGCTTTACAGAGATTTTTCATATCCTAAATGTATAAAAAAAAAAAACGATTACTTGTTGAGTAACCAACACACGAACCTGTAACCTAGTTTTTTCTTTTTTTTTTTAAAACATTGAAACCAATATTTGCTGCACGGATTATGGTTACCCAAAGCCGGGCAAAATTTAGAAATTTACCTGAACATAAGCGTAACACTGTCACCAGTTTTCGCCGACACGTAATAACTGGACATTCCATACTGTAACGCGAATTTAGTATGCCTTTCAATGCGAATAACTCGACGGTGTTCCAGATCTGTTTTATTACCAACAAGCATCAGTACAGCTGGCTAAAATGTTCTAAAAATTTGAGCAACAAACTGTTTTTAGGTGATTTATAAAAGAACTGAATGTTGAAGATTTGAGAATAGATTTGGCGGAAAGTTCAAGCCACTGTCACAGAATGAAATCTGGTGACTGCTTTCACGTAATCTTCATGTTATCAACCATTTCATAAACGGTTGCATGTGAAAATGGATAGAATTCCCCATCATTTAATATGATTTTTGTTTCAGAATCTGTGCAAAAATGGTGTTTAGACTGATTTGTTAACCTCAAGCTAAAGAAGTATGAGCATCGCATCTGGTTTTCTCATCCTCTGAAGAAAAAAGAAAGCAGAAATCGGCATCTACGAAGCGAACTTTGTTTTTTTTCACTTACTTTTTCCTGAGCTTTGGTGACTTGTTTGATGATATTAATCCAGTCTTCCAGATTTTCAAAACTAGAGCTGTTGGTAACATCGTAAACAACAACAGCACCGTGTGCACCGCTGATGTATTTTTCAAGCATCGGACTTGCGATACTTTGTCCTCCAATGTCCCAAATCTACAAATTGTTGGTGGTGATACTGCAAATGGTTGATAAAATGAAGAAAAAATTGTTGGTGATGTTGTTGGTGGTGATAACTCCAAATAAAAAACTGAATTTTAAAAAAAAAGACTTTATATCGGGTTATTTTAATATTCTGTCGACATTAAAACGGTTCGTTGAAAACTTCAAATATCTTTTTATCGATGGGGCTTAAAACTTATGCATTAGAGAACTTATGCATTTTATCAAAATATAATAAAATTTACTCGCCTGCAAAAGAACAGAAACATTGCCGGGCAAAGTCAACCTTCTAGTAAAGAAATCCAAGCCGACAGTCTGCAAACATTTGGTTGCTGGATTTATCACATAGAGCAAAAAAAAGACCTATTCGAAGTCGACGAAATGAAGATTAAACAACTCAAAGTTATTCAAAAAAAAAATTCTGAGTATTGCTGTATTACGTAACCTACAAGACTGTCCCTCGAAAAATTTGCAGACATTCGATAAATGGTAAAAAGCACGAATAATTCAAAACCTGTTGATATTGTCGTCCGAAATTATCCTGAGCAAATCGAGCACAGAGTGACGTTTTACCACTAGCACCATCGCCGCATACTACTATTTTGATAATTTTTTGAACCGGGACTTCATCCCACTCCATTTCGAAACTTTGTGCGTCTGCCTTACCAGTAGTGATATATTTGCCTACTTTATATCTGGTTGTATTTGGTTTAACAGAAGAGGTGATAAAACGTATAAAAAAATATCGGAACCATGAACTTAAAAGTTTCTAATGCTAGTGCACCCAATGAGATCTTGGACGACTAATTATCTAAGCTCAGTCACTCTGGGACAATAGTACCACTGCAAAAGCAAAATAATACAGTGGGAATTAAATGAAAGCAGACGATGCCTTGAACATAAAATATATGAAAGAATTTATATGATGGAGAAACCTTATTAGAATCTGAATTAGATTTATAGTTGATCCTTTACATGCGCTGTATCCATGGTAACGGGATGTGAAACGTTTGCATACTTGCTTCCTTGCCAACTGAAATTTTTTTATTGTTGTAGCC